TACTGTTTGAATTTCCTAATTGATAATAATGAAATATTAATTAACTCACGTCTGAAGTTCTTAACGAATCTGGCAGTGACGGTGAATCCCTTGGAAGCCTTTGGGATCCGGTATTGTATCACTGCAGCATTCTGAGAGCTAGTGAACGTCCTCTTGGTGGCGATATTTTTACCACAGAATTCGACGTTCCTCTGTTTCATTGGTAATCGATGATCCATTTCGCTAGGGAACACCTCGCCGTTCAATTCCCACCCGTCGATCACCTGCGAACAGTACAAAAAGAGCGCGTTCCGTTTTACTACGGATACAAAGTAGAAAGTAGGTTTCGATAGTTTAGAAAAGAATCGCCCATTGTCATGAATTATACTTATGTTCTCAATGATAAACCTGAATTCCGCGTTTCTCATATAAAAAATGGCGTTGCAATTTTTATAAAACACGATTAAAACCGGGATTTATAGATAAAAACCGATGAATGACTTCCTGTACACGTCGAACCGGATTGCATAATATTAATGTGAAATCGATTCACTGATATTGGAATTTCAAGAAAACGTGGATGATAAGATTAAGACTGCGAATTCTATGAATGATTTCCTGTACACGTGCCACAGAATTGTATAATATTAATCAGAGAGACGTTTCTGATAAGAATGATAAGACAAGTAAAACTCAATCAATGAATTTTTATAAGATGGGTAAAACTGAATCAATGCAGTGTCCCAGAAAAAGTGTTAGATCCGAAAAGGGTTGATTCTGAACAACAATTTCCTTTGGTAAACTGCAAAGTGAGCCACGGTTTTTGAGTTATTAACGAAAAACATTGACCAATGAGAGCGCGCGTAGGCCGCGCTTAGCCAATAGAGTGTCGGCTCGAGTCGTGACGCTCGGCCATGGCGGAGCGCGAGCCTTATACAATGTTTTCCTGTATATGCTGTGTACAAAAGGGATACGACTTACCGAAATGAGTCCACGATGCTCGCAGGGCACGTCCAGCATTCTGAATTCGATCTCCACTTTCTGGTCCGGCCCAGCCAGGAAGTAAATCCCGCAGACTTCATCATCGTCGGTCTTCGACGTGTACACGAATGTTCCTGGCTCCGACGTGACGAACATACATTCTGTAAACAGTTTCTCAGCGATTATTATAATTATGAAATTTTTAAGAATAGTTTGATTAATGATTAAGTACCTGTAATGGGTTTGAAGGTTGCATAAGAACCTAGCAAACCGTTCTTTGAGTCTACTCGATAAAAGTCCTTGGAGAAGTGGTCCCCAGGTAGCTGCAATCATACCAATTCTTCACTTCATTGCACAGGTTATTTCAAAATGAATTTTGTTATAAATTAGTTTTTATACAAGAATTATATTAAATGACCTAATTTCTCATTGGCTCTTTTTTATACAATTTTTATTACACGTAATTCTTAAA